ATAAGCTAATTGCTAATCACTAGATCATAGATTAACACTTCTCATGTTTCAAGGCTTTCAGCCAGCACGGCTCTTCAGCGGGCCAGGATGAAAACCATATATTTCTGAGTGAAACAACTCAGCATGACTGATAGATTTGTGTCAAGAAATTTATAGATTTCTCATAGTTGATAATATTTCTCATAGTTGCTAATGAGCTAAGACTGATAGGCGAATAGGGTTTATCAGCCAATATTACTCATTAAATATTACTCATTAAAATCAGTGGTCAGTAAGATGAATCATTTCTTGCAATGGTTACATATCAGATCCAGTTAATTAAAAAACACATTATCACTGATTCTGTCCATAGAGGACAGGATTCAATTGTTTATGCTAATTATAAAAAATCAGTTGGCAAACTGGACAGTGGAAATTGTATTTACTCTCACAATCATCCACAAAGTATTTAGTCTAAATTTCAATTTTCAAGCCAAGAAAAATGTTTTTTTTCAATCAGTTCTTCAGTTTAGAAGAAAAAAAAGGTAGAAATGGCCATCCACACACATTAATTCATACTCACACACATAAACCCCTCTCTTTGAGACATTAGTGATGCTGTTTCTGAATGAGGGGCACCTCAGGGATTATAATCAGAATTTTCATTTTAGTCAGGGATTAATAGAATAAATGGGCAAGAGAGAGCACTAACCGTGTGTGTGTGTGTGTGAGGCCTTTTTGTATCACTGATCGGCATTTTGCCTGTACACTGCTTTCTCTCTCTAGCTCTCTCGCTCACACATACACACACACACATATATACAGGTAATGTCTTGGCTCTCCTCAGTCGGAGATGTTTGATATGCAAATAGCAGCTTTCCAGCACAAGTTAGATGCTTTGTGTTCCTCTGAGCCTCATGGTAGCGCAGTGGCACTTGGACCATAGATGCAGATACACATTTTACAACAGGCAGCCATATGGCCATCACAACATATGGGCAGCTTCATGCAGAAAAACAGGCTATATATGCAGGAATAAAGGAAAAGATTTCCTGCACCACAAGATGAAATATAGTCCCTGTATTTCTTAAAGACGTCAGAATAAAATATTCTTAGAATTAGATAAGTGCTCCAAAATAACAAAAAGATAATTTGAAAATAATGTCCTTTGGATCATATTTTACTGATTAAAATCACCACAGATAGAGCAAAATGGACACTAAAACCCAGTGGCGGGCCGTGCATTTGGTACCTGGGCCTTCAGTGGAGACTTACCCGACTTAATTCACCACTATCACGTTGCAATTATAGAAACCATCAATACTATACAAAAACGCGTGGCATTACAGAGAGAGAGAGAGAGAGAGGCATTTTGTGTGTTGAGGGTGAATACCATTTTTACTAAAGCAAGAAACCCAGTTAAGACAACTCCAAATCTCTACACTACAACCGCAACAGTGCCACATACATCATCTGGAGCAGTTCAGAATCAATATTTATCTAATAATATGACAAAAACATTAAAAATTTAATAAAATACATCACACTCACTGGAGTTGCTATTTATTTATAGACAAAATCCTTTCTCTGTTCTTTGCGCAGGAACACTTCAATGACTGTCACAGTGGTGATCTCTGCTTTCAGTTCCATCAGTAAGTCCTTTTCTACAGCCATGGAGGCCAAGGCTGTGAGTCGACTCTGTCCAGTCGTATTCCTGGCATATGTTTTTATTCTCTTGAGGGCAGAGAATGTCCGCTCGACAGTTGCAGTGGATATAGGGATAGCCACGGTCAGACATGCCAATCTGTACAGCCGAGCTGAGACAAGCTAGCTAGCTAGTTTCGGGGTTGGCCGACCTCTTGTCATGATGTCTAGCTTTTCTAGAAAAGTCCTCCTTGAAAATTGATTTTTAAGTATGTCCGAGACCAAGTCAGTTTCTTCTCCCTCGTCAGCCATTGTGAGCATAAAAAATTCTAACTCAAATGTATTGTGTACAGATCACTACAGACGTGTTTTGCTAGTCGAACTTGACTGTAACAGTTTTGCTCTGACCAACCAATCAGAGGACGAAAAAATGCTGACGTCATTGTAGGCCAGCTAGCTGGCCCTGTGAGGCGTATTTAAAATTTGATTGGTTAAAGAAACAGTCCCATTGCTAATATAGTTTAAGTTACATGGGCCAGCACTTCTGATTCTGAAGGCCCTGGGCAGATTAGATTGACATGGCAACACATAGAGGCTGAAATCTGATTGGACAAAAAATCTAACATCCACATACACGTACTGGAAGAAACCTAAACCCAGTGGTGTAAACCGATGCCTGTGCTGAATACTGTATATAAAATGCATTTTTGTTAGATTGAAGGTTATGATGATTTACTGGTTGAGAAGAAGCCTTATATACTGTAAAGAAGGCCTATGAAACACAGCGAAATGCCAGGCCAGCATTTACAAATCAGAAACACACACACATTCTTCCCTTACCTTCTTTTTTTGACATTAGGAATGCTTTTAGACAGCAAGAATTGCAGCTGAAATTCCAGCAGAGATTTTTTTCTGTCTCTCGCATATTTACTTCGCTGTGACAGTTTGGGGTCAGTTAGGAAGAGAGCCGGGGTTGGGGCAGCAAAATATTGGTTTTAATTATCATATATCAGAATCAATGTGTTCTATAAATTCAGCAAAATGAGGTGGTGTTCAGTGTGTGTCCAGTAGCTGAAGGAAGGTCCAAAGAAACATCAATGAAACAGGACAGATGTACATAAAATGTGCAGATGGACAGCTTTAATGCTGCATTTTTTTTTCTTTTCAGTCCAAATTTCCAAACGGCAAACAGTTAATTATGCTCGGTCTGTCTGCTGTTCAGCTTGACGTCAGCATCAGACAAGATATATAACGCTGCTGTCCTGTTTTCTTCTCCTGTCTGAGTGTACAGCTGTTCCTACCAAGACGTTCCCACACACAGCGCTATTGAAGTAACCAGACGCCTGTATTATGATGTAAATCGGTCTAATAACCCAGTTTAGCTGGTGAGCGTCTGTGTGAGTGAGTGTGTGTGTTTGTGTGTGTGTGGAGAGGGGGAGTGGGTGTGTGTTATAACATATAGTCACTGCAAAAGACAAGCAGGTTTGACTAAAAAAGACGCACACTCCCTTTCATGTTACATTAGCTCCTTCCACCTGAAATATAGTGGAGAGATTTGTCACTAGTTCCCTAAAGACAAAGGTCAAAGGTCAAATAAATCTTTAATTGATAACAATTTTCCTCATGTTCCTGTAACTCTAAATCAGTTACAAGAAAGGATCAACATTGTCCTCAGCTTCTTATTCTGCTTATTTACTCACACACAAGCAAACAGGAATGACAAAATAGTAACAAACTGTAACATTTAGGATTCCTGAGCCACAGTCAACAAGCAAACTGATGAATAGTATATTCATCTTCACCCCGTTTTCTCTCCTCTCTCTCTCTGTAACAGCTAATTTAGTACAGGCAGCCTGCCAGTGAAAACTACTGCTAAATAAAATGCACAAGGAAGAAAAAAACGGCTCTGCAACAAATAATTAGTGGTGTTAAGATGCTTTAAATAAATGACTTTCCCTCTTTGAACAAAACTGAAACTGGCTTTTCCCTCTCTCCACTCATTTGGTTCTTGCACTGGGGAAGGACATGGAAGGAAGGAGAAGGAGAGAGAAAACTGGGGGGTAAACTGTGGAGGCAAACTCAGAGGGAAAAAGAATGAAATAAACAGAGAGCTGGCTTGCATTTAGTCAGGGAAGATGCGACAGTGGAAAGGGGGAAACCACACTGAGAGCAGGACACATCTGTTAGGGCCACATGAGAGAGAGGCACACACATGAACACACACACGTTGTGCAAGAACACACATTCCACACACCCAATCCCAGAAGGAGGCTGCAGTTCCTCCCCAGACTCAACGTTACACACAAACACACAATCTCCCTGACATCCAGTGATGCCCCATCTGTAGGCACACAATGGTCTCAAACGTGCACTAACACACTGACCATACTCTGTGGTACCACACAGCTGTGTGGTACCACAGAGTCAAGGTCACCCACATATCTTTGCCTGTGGGAAATGGTCAGAATGGGCAAAATGGGAAAACACACACCTTCAGTGGCACACACATCTTCTGCACATTTGACTTCAGTGCATCAGTAGAAGGACAATTGGTCTGACTTGGGTTGATGAGACCCATTACACATACACTTTCTCACACACACACAGGCAGAGACCCGCTTCTGCACAAGTTGCTAACAACAGAAGAATATACACACACACAGACAGAGACAAAACCATCCTAAATCAAACCAGGGTGTGTGTTTTTGTGTCCGCTGTAAAAGGGAACAGAGGCGTATTCTCATGAGTTCCCCCCCCACCCGTGATATCTCTGTGTTGTCGTTTGTCTGACAAAACCTGCCCCTAAACAAGTCTCAGCCAATCAGATTTCTTGCCATAACCAGGAATGGCATGTGTGTCATGCCAAAAACCTCAGATTACTACACCCCCCACAAGGTTTAGTGTCAAAATTATAGGCAACGTGTAGCCTAGTCTGCTGACTACACCGGCTTCTCATACCACAACACACACACATTATGTATTAATGATATGAAAACAAGACCTGGCACTTCAGAAAACACACACATGCCATCCAGGGCAACGCACACAACCCAACTGATATGTAGTGATAAGAAAAGCAGAATCCAGACCCTGAAACCTGCTCCCAAGCTGTAGGAGAACATTTATGACATGACAAGTGATGTTTCAGAAAATGTTTCAGGAGGAGAGTGAATTACTTATGATTTATTTTCAGTGTTATGACAGATTATAATCTCACTTTACACCACATAAGCAGATACACTGGTCTCCTTTAGAAAGACAGTCTTGCCTCAGTAAAGCTACTGCTTCTTTGTTTCCAGTTCAAAGCACTGCAGCAAGTGCTGACAAATGCTGCCAGAGATGATCTGTGTTGGCTCATGTTAAAGCAATACGATTACCTGGGAGGGGCTCCTGTTTGGGGCAAATCCCCCTGGGTGACGTGAGTCGGTCATCATCCTCATCTGCCAGTGTGGCCTGGACACCCACTTCCACAGGCCTCCGACTACGCAGGGAAGCCAGGCTGGGGGACGGGGTGAGAGCCAGGCCAGGAGAAGGCGAAGGGGGCTTGTCCAGCCCTCTTCCCACCGCCAGGCATGGTGGCCCATGACATCTCTTCCTCTTGTGCTCAATGAAGAGCAGGATGTCCGCCAGGGGAAAGGTGGCCTGGCACTGACCGCATGTCAGCAGGTCCTGCTCCAGAGAGGGGTGAGCATCGTGACCCAAGCGGGCCAGCCGGGCCAGTCGGCCCACGGTCGAACCTAGATGGTGCCCGTTGAGGTTGCCGCTGTCCTCTGAATGCTCCAAGCAGCGCTCCGACAGCACCTCTGATGAGACAACGGCCGTGGAGAGGGGCTCAGCTGCTGGCAAGCCATGAGGGCACATGCAGCGAGGAAGAGGAAGAATGAACAAAAAATAGGAAATTAGAAGCTGACGCCGAAAAACAACAACCACTTGTTTATATTTCTCCTTTTCTCTCCTGTAATTTAAACCAATTGATACCAGCTATTTGTGGGAATTGATTACAAGGGACAGGCCACAAACCTTTCTCATTCTTTCACATAGAGGATCAGAGTTAAAGAGACAAAGCTAAATAAAAGCCTTCCATGTGGTACACACAAGAAAGGAGAGAGAAAATGTGCCTTGTAATGATATAAATACATGTAATGCAGGAAAAATAATTACAATGCAAGCTGATGTGAATCACACATCATAAGAATAAATGGTGGGAAATAATATCCCGAATAGCTGCAAATCTCAAATCAGGTTGCTCAAAAATGACAATTTCCTAGGCAATGACAGGGGAAGCTTAGAAAATGATGGCTAAATGCAGCATTCACCAAAAGCTAAATATGTGGAAGAGTTTGACTGGCCTAACCTTGTTTGTGCAGGGTTTGATCCTGTAATCAGCAGAAGGAAAGACTGTCACAAACATGTCCAGCATGCAGTATGTGCTGGAGAAAAGGCAGAGAAGGCGGGCAGTGTGTGTGTGTGTATCAGGAAGAAGGCAAACTCTTCCCTCACTCTCTGTTACATGTACCCAACATATACTGTAGCTCTTAGACACCAGCTGCTCATACTGTACAGTTGGAAAATCACCCCAAGATGAGCTGATCAACCCAATTCCTCACCACTCTGAAGCCGAATTAACTCCTGACTACTTTTTAAGAAGCCTTTATCAAAGTCAGACTGCCCTGCAGTACAGGGAGAGTACTGTGAACAGAGCGGCCCGCTGAATTAGTCCAAACCAAATTCACTGTTGCTCTTTAAAAGAAAATCTTCAGTCCAAGGTGAAGAGTCTGATGCCTAATACATGTTGACCTTCTTTACTCTGCTGCCAATTTCACATTTTAATGAACTTAAAACCACTGAGACTCAAAGAATGGATTTTAATTTTGACTGTCTGGGTGATTGGTACAGATTTTGTCTGATAAATGGGAAACAGTTCATGCATGTGTAAGAGAGGGTGTGTGGAAATGTACAGTACGCGCGCGCGTGTGTGTGTGTGTGTGTGAAAGAGAGAGAGGGAGAGAAATATGGTCTGAATGGTGACTATATCCCCTCAAGGAAACAACATGTGAATGCTGCAATCGTGCTGACATCTGTGCACAAACTGGGACATGAAAATAACATGATAAATTCCTGGTTTGTGCGAACATCACTACCACTGCTTCCTCATCAAAACCCCACACCCTCCTACTCCTCCTCTTCCTCCTCTCTATCCTTCTCCCCTTTGATTTAACTTCAGGTCAAACACAGTGCTACACAAGTTATACAATAAGGGACTTTAAATTCACAACAACAAGCAATCAAATGAAAACTGAAAAGTTTAACTTGAGTCGATATAGAGGTTTGAAAAAACATTTTGCTTGATTTTATGGAGCCTGAGGAGGGAGGATAATAACTAACTAAGGAATGTAAAAAATACAAAGCAGGGCTTCATGCTCAGAATTCAATTTAAAATCTAGAAACCTGTAAAAACCCTTAATTTGTATCTATTTTAAGGCAGTGCAGCTAGATGAATTAGAGGAGCAGTGTGTGTGTGTATACCAGTTTCACAGATCAAAACATGCATGGCATTACTATCATATTTCTAAAGGAAAAAAGAATATCACTAAAAATGACGGATAAAATGTACTCTTAGTGAGAAACCCTACGTTAAAAGTTCTATGATTCTATAAAACAGGCATGACCAGAACACATTTGGACTGGTGACACTCTGGTGACGATTGGAAGTGTTGAAAAAATAACAAAATTACTCACTGTTATTTAATCTGGGGGAAGAAATGTAGAGCTGCAGCATTTAAAAAAAAATCTACTTCAGTTTATCTTGTTCATGCTAATCAATAGCGAGCAATGCAGCACTGTCCTATATCTTAATTACCAAATATAAATACAGAATGGATTACAAAAATGCAAAAAATTGAATTATAATTTCTAAAAAGAAGCAATAATCTAGGATGGATGTTCGCTTAAGTGTGACGGGCCGAAATCTGAGCATCACTGGTAATAAATGTGAAAATGTATGCAAAATGAAATGTGTGTGCGTGTGTGTACTGTGGTGTGTGCGATGCAAGGTTGGAAGGGTGTAAAAGGCGAGGTCTGCAGGCATGTTGCAGTGTAGCTGCATATGCTCATTGCAACCTGCGGGGATGTAAAAATGTGATGAAAGCGGAGAGAAAGTAGGTTTAAGGTAATGAAGAGAATTGTAGAACTGGAGATGGGGGTGTCCTGTTCCCCCACTCCCTCCTTCCCTGTGTCTCGTGCACTTTCACTTTATTCTAAAGAGATCGCCAAGAAGTAGCCAGTGTGGATAGGGGTTGCGGTGAAGCTGATCAGGTTCAGTGCTGGATTTTCTGATCGCGCTCTGCCTCCTAGCGACGGCACATGGCCATAGTGACTGCGCTTGCTTGACACACACACACACACACACACACACACTCCAAGCCAAACACAGGCAATAACTAGTCAACATACCGAAACATAACTAAGCACTGATGCCTAGACGTGCTCAAATACCTTCCTGTTTTAGGTTTGTTGCCACTTCGAGAGCCGCTGAAAGGCTGCGAGGTAGCGCACAGTAGAGCACATGGTGCATTGATTATCGCCACTTTTCCAAATCGCCCCGCAGTTTCTAAACACGCACATCTGCTCTCTCTTCACATATCGAAGGTTTGCGTCTAAATGCATTCAGTTAACTCTAAAAAATATAACTGGTCGTACCTAAACGTCGTGCGTAAAAGAGGATGCTGCCGACTCAACTAAACATTGGAATTGAGTAGCTTTTCCATAAACAGTGCAGCTGCATCACACCAGCGATGACATTAGTCTTACCTTAACTGTACATGAAGAATTGGAATCTTAAGTTGGATTTTTGTTGTTGTTGTCCAAATTTTGCTTTATGTGAAAAAGCAATTAAAGAAAGACAAGATATGCTGTTGTCCTGTTGCTGTGCTTCTTGTCTCAAACTCTGAGCTGCACAGGCTCTGTTGACTGGTTCAGGAAGAAAACTTTGTCATCTAAACTACACAGTTATAAATCACCTTTGTATAAAATGCATTAAGATTTTAAAATGTGTGTGAAATAAATTGATTTGTGTTATCTCTGTTGCGGAGCTTCTGGGACAGGGAAACAGTTGTAAGCAGTCGGACACGAGATTTTCCCCCCTTGATCCAAAAAAATCCACTTCAGTTTTTTTCAGAAATAATCCAAAAATAGAACGAGAGAGCGGATGAAACCTGCCCGCACAGTGACCAGACAGCGATATTCCGGGGAGTTATTCTCCACAAAGCTCCGCGGAGAGGACGCGCTCTACTACCGGCAACACTGCGCGTTTCCACTGACCGGAGCGACCGTGGGGGCACCGGAGCCACAGCGAGTGCTTTTAACAGCCTATGAATGCACATTCTCGCCGTGTAACAGAAAAGCAGTAACCGGTGTATACCGACACAAAAAAAACTTTTTTTCTCTTTCAGGAATCTCCGAGTGGCTTTTACGCACGATGGTGTCGCACTTTCTGGCCACACTGTTAAGTCCGGTTTGACCGCGGGTCCGAGCGGTGCGTGCGGTGTCCACAAGCTTCTGTTTGGCTGCTTTTCCCCCTTATGCTGAATGAATTGAAAGATAGCAAGAAATTACTTTTTTTTCATCTGTACTTACGCGAAAAATCCCGTTTGCTTAAGTGCTGGGGTTTGCCTTGCTTGCGGCGAGACATGGTGGCTGGCGGCTGCGGCGTTCAACGCGGATCACATCGGGGAGAGCCGGGGTTAGAGAGGAGACTCCGCTGGGGCAAAAAATGTCCTCATCCAACGCCTTTGACATCCACAAGAAAAAAATAAAATTAATTAGAAATAATACAAAGATGGCGCGGAGGCGAAGATGGATCGCGGGATCGCCGTCATGGCTTTTTTGAGAAAGGAGAGCAGAGAAAAAAGAGAGAGGGAGAGTGAGAGAGAGGTGGATGGAGAGAGAGAGAGAGAGGGAAGGGGAGAGAGATGGAAAAAAGGCAA